GTGATCTGGGCTGAATGTGAAGATACGAGCGACATGGGTGCTGTTTTGATGGATCAGAAGTGGGTAGTGATGGGGCAGAAGTGAATTGGCCTGTGAAGGTTGAAATGTCAGTAGATTGTGAAGGAAACGCGACGGTGGGCGAACGAACAATCGGAAAGCCGCGAACCGCCAAGTGTGGAGGGAGCGGCGCGCGTACTCTCATCCGCCGCGAGAGAATTGTCTCACCCACACACCCCAGCACACCTTTTTTACGCAGCTACACATTTTGGCCAAAGCGTAGGCAAGTATGCACGGTGTCTGGGCAGCTCGGACTCGGAGGCTGGATATGCACATAATCCACTGCATACAAACAACCGGGGAGAGAAGTGACAGGAGAGTAGTGATGCAAACCTACTTTAGTAGGAGTCTGCGAGCCACTTCACCAGCAAGCGCGGTCTCTTGAGCAGATGCAGGGATGGCAAAGATGGCAGCTCAAGAACCGCAACTATACCGCACGCAACACAGCGCCGTGTTCCAAGACAGGTTCCGACGTGGTCCGATGCTGCCGAGGGGCGTGTACAGGGCTATCCCGCCTTGTCTGCAAAGTAGATGCTGCTGAAGTTGCGAAACTCATGGGAATGGCAAAACCAGCATGCGGGTGTCTGACAAGATAAAGAAATTACTGGTTGGGTAAAGGAAAAGACTGGTTGGCCGAGTGGTTAAGGCGCCTCCCTGCTAAGGAGGTTCCCTTTGGGAGCACAGGTTCAAATCCTGTACCAGTCGTTATATATCTTTTTTTTGCCACTTCCGCCTTTTCGGAAGCTGTCCGACGGTGGAAGTGCTCTGGAGAGCGACGAAGCTGTGTACGAGGACAATTGAGATGAATGAACTTGACCCTGGAAGATTCGACCTTGCATGTGCTCCGACACGTGCCAGTGGTGGTTGCATCTTGCCGCGTAACACCAGCCCTTTGATTCATGACGCCCGACAACCTCTCGTAACCTCAACCCCTTGCTGTGTGTGCCACGATGTTCTGGAAAACACCGGCATGGATTTCAACCAGGCGCTGGCCTGGACCGAGAGCAAGACGTTCATGGAGGCGCGCATTCCTGGACAGACAGCTGCTACGGTCGCGGAATGCGCCGTCCGATATGTTGGAAAATGACGGGGATCCAACGCACCGAGAGCCTGCACAAATTCGGCAAAGACTCCAGTCTTTTGCTCCTTGAGGTCCGCTTCAAATCGATATCACGGAGTACTGGGTCCCGGACATTTACCGACATATCGGACGGCGCATTCCGCGACAGTAGCAGAGGTCTGTCCAGGAACGCGCGCCTCCAAGAACGTCTTGTTCTCGGTCCAGGCCAGCGCCTTGTTGAAATCCATGCTGGTGTTTTCCTTCATATGGTCTACAACCCTCGCAAGGGTGGCGGCGTCCATGGTCCAGGATCTCACGTAGTAGTCCTCGTGGTCCGGTTCAGCAACAGAGTCTTTTGTTACAAGTTTCAGGTTGAGGGTCTCCGCGGGTCGATGTCAGAGACTAGCATCTGGTTGACAATGACGGCTTTGGCACATCTCAGGAGTTGGGAATCGTTCGGCGGCGACAGGAAGTCAAGCCCGCTCTCCACGAACAAGGTCGTATCGACTCCGCAAGCCGCAGCGCGAGCCGGAATGGTCTTGAACATGGATCGGCGTATGCTGGTAAGAGAAGGGGCGAACGTGACATAATCGTGACGGCCGCTTTCTGCCGTCTCGAGGACATCGCTCGATGCCTGCTGCGTTGTGATTTGCGCCGAATGCGAAGACACGAGCGACATGGGTGCTGTTTCGATTGATCAGGAGTGGATAGTGATTTTGAAAACACCAAAAGCTTTGCTTAGTCTTCTGCCTATACGTCGAGAGGCTGAAGCCGAGATGTGGGCGAAAGCGCGCGCCCAATGACGAGTGAGAAAGCAAGGCCAAGCGTTGGGGCATCCAGTCACTGTACGGTGTGTGTGGCAGTCAGTCACGCCGTGTACCTGGAAACTTCGAGTGCCTCACCCTCCAGCAGCAGAAGCACCTGTCAAACACTAACCTTGCCTCCTTTCAAAGGTTAATGTTAGCTGTGCGTTGCGCCGTCACCATTCTGAGAAGGATACGCGAGGGCGGGGCAGACGGGGTTGAATGGTGCGTGTGCTGTGGGTGTGATTGCGTGTGTGCTCCTGGGGCAGACACGTCCGGAGTTTCTCAGATTTCTTTTGCGCTATGCGTTGCTGTGTCGTTGCTGTGTCGGCATCGTCGTTTAGAGCGCCCGTGGGGCTTTGGTGTTGATATCGAGAGGCCCTTTTCCAACGCACAAAGTGGTCAATCGAGTCGGCGAGGGTTGGTTAATCAATCATAACGTTGGCTGATCTCGTTTGGAGCGTTGCCTCGCCACGAACGCCTCGTTTGCTCTCGACTCGTCGTTAGGCAACCAGTCATTACCTTAAGCAACCAGTCAAATGAACAAGCCAGACGTCTCGAACCCGATAAGTTAGGCAGGATCACGTTTGATGCACTGCAACCTGGCCAGAGGCACTCGGCAAACGTGGTTGAAGTCTCACGCGAACAGGCCTGACAATCCTCACTCGTCCTCGCGCGCGCGGTGGAATATGGCCTAATTGTTTTGCCTACATAGCAAATCTTTAGAAACACGAAGTCTGGCTCATCAAACCCCAAGTTCCCTTCTATCCAAAGAACGGGCCGCTCTGCCCTACCGCACAGGTGGAGGAAGTGCCCTGCGTAATCGATGTTCACCGTAGTTGCATAGATGCAGGGAGTATGGTGGACGCTGGAGGTATTCTGGGCTGCATGCCTCGGGAGACTGAAGCCCATCTCAGCTGAGCGGACGACGACTTGTCGTGAATCCAACCGCGCCGCGATGGGATTCAAACCCAACGGCAGCAAGGTTAGAAGCATTGCCACGCGGTTCCCTATGAGCAGCCGCGTCGGCTCATCCGAATGAAGGTGGGGTACTCTCGCCGGATGTCAGATAGATCGCTGGCACTGTATCTTGGGCAGGCTACTGGAGACTTGCAGGCGACTTGACAGCGATCCTCAGGAATGATAAGCACATGATGTGCGATGTCTGAACGTAGCAAAAGGCCGACCGCTCGCGGGCGATCCTCATATATGCGGGGATATATCCAGCATCGGCACGAGCCAGCGCATCTGTTGGAGTGCATCAGAGAGGTCCGCCGCAAAGCGCAGCAACGGACGATCGACCGACGAGGCTTGATGCTTCCCGTGCTTTGGACTTGAGGTTTCACTCCCCGAAAAAGGAGGGTGGGTTTCACGTGCAAAACATGCAAGTGTAGATACGAAAGCCTGATAGGGGGAGCTTCACCATATATCTTGAGCGGACCATCAGACTACGACGAGCGGCTTGCAGACAAGTGAGAAGGCACACGGTATGTCTCTAGTTGTTGTCGTTTGGTCGTTGTTGCTGTTGTTGTTGTTGCCGTTGCTGTAGTCTCACTTTGCTCTGTGGTGCCTTGGCAACTCATCTTCACATTCCAGAGCATTACTGTACAGTCGTCGCGCTTTTCGTCCTAGTTGTCCCGATACTCTTCTCTCGGCGGGTTCCCTCTGGTGCCTCCCTCGTCTGCGATCGCTGCCGTTGGGCTTTTCAAAGACTCGTCTGCACGTTGCTCTCGTCGCGCTTACTTTCGGGAAACGCACACCTCCACAAGAAGGGCCCCTGTAGACTTTCAGAAAGTTTTCTCCAAGAGTATCACAGCACATAGTAGCGTCGGTTAGTTCATCATGGATCCACAGGTACGTTCCCGCTGGTCGGTAGAAGGTCTTGCAAGTCCACAGGCCTCACCGCATTCCTCGCCACCTCTGCAGAGCATGCTAGCGCACCGCAACCAACGGCCCTCCAGGCCCGCCATTGGTTCAAATCCAAACACCTCTGTCCTCGCAACAGCAGCGGCGGCAGCAGCAGCATCAGCATCAGGGGCACCGCTACCATCATCTTCACAAAATCAACATACATCAGCACCCTCTTCCCCTGCAGCCCACCGTTCAAACCCCAACCCTCAACCCCATCTCCCACCATCTTCCCTGTCGCTCCGACAACCCGCGCTCCCTCCGCCATCTCGGATGGCTCACTCCAGAGCTTTCAGCCAGGCTGCCTCTTCCACCGTCCCAACCCCCGTTCGTAGGGTCCACAAGGTCTCGTCCGTGGCATCCCTTCCTACGTCCCAGAGCATGGGTAGTCTTGGAAGGAACGGCGGGATGATCTTTGGGAGGGACGATCTGCGGAACGGTTACGCCATGCCTCCTCCAACGAGGGGACATTGGAGGCCTGACAACGAGGTCGGAGAGTGTCAGGGCTGTCAAGCAAAGTTTGGCTTCTTGCTCAGGAGACATCATGTAAGGAGACTGGAGGAGATGGGCATCGAACAAGAAAGACGCTGATGATGGTCATTCCTGTTCCTGTCTATCAGTGTCGAAGATGTGGAGGAGTCTTCTGCCATTCCTGTTCCTCGGTACAGTTTCGATTCTCTCGTCGCATTCTCGCTTTTCACTGATGCTTACCTCCCTTCCTCAGCACGTGCTCCGGCTAGACCATACGGCAAACTTCCATCCAGCGGGCACCTTGGCCCGATCGTGCGACGCCTGCGTGGAAGAATATCAGCAGACGAGAATTCGTCCAGTCGTCCTACCGGGACTGGGGTCCACTGGGGCACCCAGCAGCAACCAACCGCCAGCTGCCATCGTGGAGGAGCCTCAGGAAGGCAAAGCCGATGATCCGACGGCGGATGCCAAGGCGGCCGTCACCGGTGCGACGCAGGCCGTCCCGATAGCCGGTGGGAAGGACAAGAACGCTGGTACGTGAATGAACCTGATCGCAGATGAGAAGGGAGAACTGACTTCGAGGTTGCTCTTCAGCCGAACCGCCCATGTCACTCATGTCGGTGCCATCCGACTGGCAGTGGTCCACGTTCTGATCTGGAAGCACCACAAGTGTCGGTCTCCCTTTTGTATCTAACCTCCACTCAACGCATTCCATTTCCATTTCGGCATTTCCTATCGTACCGCTTCCGACCTCCACCCGGGTGCCTTACCGTACGCATCCGCCCAAGAGCAAAGGTTTCCTTCAGCTTTGTTCCTTACTTTCCTTTTTTTTTACATATTTTGGGAGCTATAGCCCCCCTTTTTTCCTACTAGCGGGAACGTACTTTTCCCGTCATCCTTTTCTTCTAATCAGACGCCTTTTCTGAATACCTTTGTTGTCCATCAGAGGGAGAGGAAAGTACACAAGCGTCACTTCTCACAAAAAGCGTTCCATTTAAATAAAGAAGTACCAAAGACTCCTCTCCAGTTCTACCACAATCGACCAGGCACAGGCGCCATGTAAAAGTTCCTCCCGGTCTTGAAATCCACAATCATCTGATCGACGACCACGCCCTCATCCAACGCCCTGACCGTCAAGGTATGAGGACCCGCCGTGGCAAACGTATGGTTGAACGAGACCGTCGCCTGTCCCCTCAGGACCCACACCTTCCACGCCTCGCTCCTGTAAGCCGTGTCGAAGGACATGACGGTCGGCGTCCCACCGTCCACGGCGACCGACAGTCGGATGTCCCCGTTCAGCGCGATGGGTTGGTTCGGCATGACGAGGGTGGTGATGTTGGCCACCCCCGTCGACGCGGTCACGATGGTGTATTGCAGGAAGGACGTCGTCGTGGGTGGGAGGACCACCGAGGAGAGTGAGTGGCCTAACCCCGGTATGATCTCGACGCCTGCGGCGGTCGTGT